CGTGATATAGTTTATAAGGCAGTGTTAAGTTACATCAATTTCTGGGTTATCTGTGATTTAATGGTGGTTAAGTAATTCCTATTTACACAGTAGATGAGATCTTGGGAAGATAAGAGTTTCTCAAGACTGGGGAAGATAACAGTATAATTCCGGAATTATCTAGTTATTTTCCACTGTTACTTAGGTTTGTTCATTGGTATATATCACCACTTCTTTGTGTGATATGAAATTGTACATAATACTGTACATTTGCATGCAATCATCCATAACTTTGTTTTCCTTTGCTACACAAGTAAGATACTATAACTCGAATAACTGGAAATATCACAGTCCAGCAGGATTCCCTAACACGTCTGTAATATATCAAGCAGTTGTGGGGCAGCCATTATTACAAGTTTCTCAGATGGAAGCTTATCTATTATAGACATGGAAAAACTACATCACTGCTTACTTATGACTTGGTGAGTTCTTGACTGTACTCAGAAACTTACATTTCTTTGCTTTTTCCTATACTTCTGCTTCTTTCATTCTTTTCTCTTACAACTCACATCTTCAGAACTTTTATTAGATGCTGTAATTTTAGACAAAGAACTGCAATACAACCAGAAATGTACAGGGAGATGTTGAAAGACTAGTTTGTTTGCAGGCTGCACCTCCACTCTTGCTCTTAAGGTGGTACCCTAAACATGGATATGCATTGACTAAACTTTGGTTTTGCCATTAACGAAACGACAGAATTTATCTTGTGATTTCTGAAGCGGGAATTTTTTCAGAGTAAATTTTTTTATGAGGTAAGATGGAAGATTTTTGTGAACTGAAGCAAAAAAATTAAAATGTCATTTTATTTTTAAGTTTTGAGTATATATGTGATTCAGAAAGAATATATGGAACAAGACAGGGAGAAATAGGCAGTGGAAGAACAAGAACTTCTGAAATAGCCTGGCAGCCTATGACTTTGATGCTGTCCTTAAGATAGGAAAACATGTAAACCTTTGTGCTGATATTTGTCCAAGTAGAAGGGTTGGGGCAATACTTATCTCTGACATAGATAACTTGAGTTGGCTATAGGCTAGCCAAGACAACTTGTCTACTCAGTGGCTGCACAATGCTCTGAAATTGTGTTAAGCATCTAATTACCAGACGCTTAACATGGATTTGGGGGGCAAATTTGGAAGGCAAATGTAGAAGAAAATTTCAATTCATCATAATAAATAAGTTGACTTACCTTTCTTTCCTTCAAAAGTCACTTTGTGTAAATTCTTCTGACACAATTCATTACATACTTTTCTGTACTTAACAGAAACCATTAAAATCTCTTCAGAAGGTAAAAATGAAGGACTTCAAACACATGCAGATGATATTGTTTCTCCTTTAGGTTCAATAGCCTTCCTTACTCTTACAACGCCTTTTATCTCCTCTGTTTCCTGCTAATCACAGTTTACATTCTCATGCATTTTGTGAAAGACTAGGATTACATTTATATCTTTGTAGTAACTTTAAAATATCACCCAGCTCTTGCAATTTCCCCCCCTAAAGAAACTAAGAGAAAAACAGAAAGAGAAAAAAGAACATGCACTCTCATCCTGATTTGTCATCAGATAAGCACATTGGATTCAATCCTACATATTTTCAGCACTCAAAAATTCCAGAAAGGTTAACAGGAGTTTTGTGAGAAAGTGGAATGTAAGGGTCAGGGCCATTCAGAAGGAAAGGAATCCATGCCATGGAACGTGCAAATTATGTCTGTCTCTACAATAACACTGAAATCACTTTTATAGTGGGCCAGGAAATAGCCATTTTGATTTATGTGTGAAAGAGTGAAGGAACTTAAGATGTGGCTAGGATGAAAAGTGGAGGATATGTAGAAAATTTTCCTGTTGTCTTTTTCTGCTTTTTGTTTTTATTAATTTTCCCTTTTTCAGATATGTTGCTGCAAAAGGCTAGCTTAAATTCCAGGGTCACCAAAAGTCAGTTCATTCATAGTCAACTATTCAGATTTATATTTTATTGGTTATTTAATCTAGTCTGACCTAAAAGAAATGTGATGAACTATAAAAGGGTGCAGTAGTATCTCTGGCAAGATCACGATCCCCAGTGGCAAAAGTGGTGTTCTTGTATTTGTAGCCGATATGTGAAAAATATTTCTTCATTGTTTCTGAAGTATTTCCACATATTGGCTTATTAACACAGTTTCTATAGCTCTGCAAAGGGCAGCACATCGTAACTGTGCCGTATGCAATATTGATACAACTGCTAGGACCATGGCGTAACTGAACTGCACAGAAGCAAAACTGTCCTATCATTTCTAATCTGCTTCTAATTTTGTGTTGTTAAATTCTGTGCTATGAGGAACGCATCTGGGCAAGTTGTATTTTAAATTTCTTCCTGCTTACATTGCTACTCATGGCCTATGGACACAGGAAAAAAAAATGTGTGTAAAGAGACTTTGACATTAGCTGTGTATTTGCTAGATAGGACCAAGCTGTAATCAAGAAATTGCAGGAATCAGATCAATCAGAATCATCTCAAGTCAGAAATAAGAGAAGTCAAGACACACCAGAAAAGGGCTTCACTGGCAGCCAGATCACATTTGCAGCAGGAGCCTGGAATGAGGAACAGGTGGAGCTAGAATAATGTCAGCAGCTAAATGTAGGTCTTGAGATTGAGGGCTAGGAGCTAGACTCAGAGTATGACTTAGAAGCCATGGAAATGGATATAAAGAGTAGATATCAGGTATGTGGGAAGCCTCATACAGCAAAATTGTACACACCCCTCAATGTCTAGGCCTTATCAGGTCCTCAGTTTTTGAAAAGCTGTTCACAGCCTCCTGCTAGACTTGCCCAGCAGTGCCTAAGAAAGATGGCCATCATCTGCTAAAGAGACTTTGGTCCATGCAATATTACATATTGCATCCATCTTTCATCTCTCTATTCTGTTACCTTTGAAAATGACCTCTATGATGAGTTACAGGAAAACACTTGTTTGCAGCATTGAGCCTTTATATCCGTATGAGTCCATGAAGGAAAACTATTGAGTCAGATATAGTGCAATCTGAAGCTGCAATGAGAGCTATAATGACCCCCCATTACAGCATAGGGAGTCCACCTGAAACACCGGTTTGCAGTTGTTTGAACTTCCCTGACTGCTGCAGGTGTTGCCTTCATAGCTGGCTGAGAACTCTCTCCTCAGACTTCTGCCTGACAGTTATTCAATTCTTGTACCTTAGAGCTGCTGTCCGGGTGGCAGTTGTACTGCTGCTCAGAAGAGAATGCGTCACTGCTTCCTTGTCCTGCTAACACCAGCTTTCTGGGGCTTTTACTCCTTGGGGAGACAGTAGAAAATATTCTCTACTTGGGAGAACAGCCTGGGAAAGAAGAGATTTTTTTTTGCCTATCAGGCAGTCAACATTTCAGTGGCTAGATTTCTTTCTCAACTTTGAGTGGCGTTGCTTCTCCCCATCAAGAATGTTAGGGATACATTATTGATACTGTTAAAACCCCCTCACATTTTGCTCATAGTATCTGGCTGGTGTTACACTTTAAACTCTCGATGCAGCAGGTAGTATATTTTTCCCATTATGGTAGTTTAACTTGACACTTCCTCCTTGAACGGGACACTATAATGAATTTAGTACATTTTTTATAGGATGGGACACATCATGAGTTTACAGAAATTTGGATGTGAATCCTGATTTGGTAAGTCTAAGTAACCTCCCAATAAAGTAGAAGTTTCAAAAACATGGCTCAGCCCTGTTGCTTTACATACTTTAACCTACTCATTCTGCTTAGGTCCAGGTACCTTAAACAGAATCTTTTTCCGCTAAAGCAGAACTAAGAAAAAAGGGATATTTCTGGTCATTCAAGGTGCAAGAATATTAGGACAAGTCTTCAGAAAAAGAAGATTATAAATGAGGACCTCTCCTCTCCTCTCCTCTCCTCTCCTCTCCTCTCCTCTCCTCTCCTCTCCTCTCCTCTCCTCTCCTCTCCTCTCCTCTCCTCTCCTCTCCTCTCCTCTCCTCTCCTCTCCTCTCCTCTCCTCTCCTCTCCTCTCCTCTCCTCTCCTCTCTCTCCTCTCCTCTCCTCTCCTCTCCTCTCCTCTCCTCTCCTCTCCTCTCCTTCCCATGCAACTTCCATAAGAAGGATATCTCCTCTCATTTTAATATTTTGAGCTTTGCACACACCTCCCCATGACCTTGGTGATGTTTTTCTATACCAAAACTTATTTTTTTGTTAAACAGATGTTTTCACCTCTTTCCTATATAAACTTTTCTGGAAGAAATGTAAATAAACAATGAGAGATTGTAGGACACAAAAAGAAAATAAAATCTGCAGGGTTTACACAATAATCTACATAAAGTTTTCCTCCAGCATGTGAAGTGATTTTGTTTGATGCAAAGAAGGTGGAGTCTATAATGATAATTTCTTTAATGGGATTTGCAGACAGCTGGAGTAGGAGGTGTCCTCTATATTACATTCCCAGAGCGCAGTGTCTTTTAGGGCACGTTCCCACATGTTCACTCACCTAAATGGTGTTTTGCCTGACGTGTTCAGCTATCTATTTCAAAATTGCTTATATGTTGCTTTACAGAGGAATTCAGAGATACATAAGGAGGATAATTACTTCTAAATTCCAGACTTCAGAAATTAAATACTAGAAGCCTAGACATTGATACGGTACGAATTCTTCAATGCCGTACAGGGTCTTTGTGAGGGATAGGCTGCTGGAGAACTACTTCTAAATCAGACACACCTTTGGGTTGGGCTATTTTGGAAACTAAGTACTTGATGAGGCTCAAGGTATGGTCTGCTAGGGACAAGTGATTTTATTTTGTGTTTTTACCTGTACTTTGATCAGCTGATGTAGCTGAGATGGTCAGTCTCCTCTGTAAGTAACAGACTGGGGGTGGAGGAGTGGTGACCTATAGTAAGCTTTCCCTGACTTTTTTCAAAGTGCAGATTGCTGACTATCAGGCAGTCAGGGAAGAGAAAACGGGACAAGCTATGGGGGTACCTTTATTTGGGGATAGCAAGCCCTTCTATTTCCGATTCTGGAATGGACTAAGTCAAAAGTTGCAAGGCAAAAAATCCTGGGATAAACATCTGGATGAAATCTACTTACTCCAGCAGAAAAGGTACAGTGCAATTTCAGCCTTCTTGTCTTCCTTTTCTTCTGCTACTCTTTAGATTCTCACTGTTTTCCCTTAGGCTTTTCTGCCAGTAGATAAACTTTAAACAACCCTGGAGCACTTTTCTCTATCAGATTTCTTCTTTCAAGGTGGAATGCTTCCAATCTTATCTGCTTTCACAGGTGGGTTTACTAGGTCACAACTGGATTACCTTGAGTGCAGGACTTCAGTCACAAGTTAGTAATGTATACTCTTGTCCTCCCTGCTTCATTGGTAAACCTCAGAAGAAAATGCATGATGGCCTGTTTGGGTTTTTTGTAATTATTATGCTTATATGCTCGTTATGCTCATATGCTGCAGTCAGCTGAAATAATGACTATTTTTGCAAGGATTCTGCTTTCTGTTTCTCTGAAGGTTGCTCTTACTATGGGATAGAGTGGACTTAACATTTTTCCACATTCCAGTGGTCAATGATTGGGCTGCTGTTTCTCACCCCCATGGCCTGGGTGTCAGCACATGCAGTGACTTCTCTTAGACCTTGCATTATCAAGAAGATTGTGTGTGTCGTCATATGTAAATACTGAATCAAGGCTGTGTGTTACTGCTGTGCATGGTTCCTCCCTGCAAAAAAACATGGAAATCCATGTGAATCTGATTTTTATTTTTCCTTGTAGTTTCTGCATGTACAAACACTGGAGTTAGGCTAGTTTTTACTTTCCTCACAAAAATCTGAACATATCTGGGGATGAAAAGGTGGCTGTGTGGGACAAAATCTATCTATCTATCCAACCATATGTATGTATGTATGTATACACATATAAGTATAGAAATAAATAGGATAATACCTTAGGAGGGACAAATGTACTCATCTGTCTTTAGGAAAATAACTTATATATAACAAACATCAACTAACTTCTGATCAAATAAAAATGCCTGTTCTATTTTACTTCAGAGCAGTGGGACTTAAATACATTTAAAATGGGATGGACTGTGAGGGCAATAATGTCTCCATAGAATTTTGAAGTGTTTACATTTTGGTATGTTCATGAAGTGTATCATAGGAAACTGAAAAATAAGTTATCAGCAGATTCAGTAATGTTCAAATGGATACATGCAAAAGAGAAGACTAAATATATTAACATTTTTTATAATCAATACATTATCTTCACATTTTTAGGTCACAGAGGTGTGGAAGGTCTCTGCCTAACCTCCCACTTGAAGGTGGGCTATTGTAGATCACATTGCTTTGGCTTTGTCTAGCTAAGTCTTGAAAGCCTCCCGGGACAGAGATACCACTGTATCTTTAGGCGTCTGTTAGAACGTTGTAGTAAGCTGGCAGTGAAATTGGGGTTTTTTTTCCCAAATGTTCAACCTGAACCTCCAAAGTCATCATTTGGTACTGTAGCCTCTTGCTTTACCATTTGCTGTTACCAAGAAGGGTTTGGTTTGTTCCATTTTGTTGCTCTCTTTCACACAGGCTGCTATTAGATCAACCTTCTCTTTGCTTGACAGTCCTCATTAGGTTTTTGCTTCACGCCCATCAACATCTTGTGTGTTGCTACGGATAGATGAAAACAGAAAAATGTTAGGCATATAAACTGTTCTTCAAAAACTTCTCTTAGATCATCGTAGTGCAACTGCAGTTGTCCCCAAAACTGACGTTTTTGTGCTTCTTTATAAATCTCTGTGTAACAACACATGCAGTGCATATGACATGATTGTCTGTGAAATCGTAGTTGCATAGGGACACAACTGCTCCCTTCCATTTTAGGTCTATGCCTTTCCCACAGCTTTCAATTAACACAAATTAGCCTTCTGCTGTTTGGTCAGAAATGACATGGTGCAAATACATGGATACGTTTTCCTGAAGAGGGACAGGACCATTTCTTCCTCTTATTATACTACTCTTGCCTTTCTGGTCCAGAGTTTGAGAAGAAAGAAAATGAACATTTAGCAGAGGACTGGAATCAGTTTTATTGCTTTCATATTCTTAATTATGTATAGATAGAAAAACACAACAGGAAAACCTTCTGTGGCGAGTTGTGTAGGAAAAAAAAGCTTTTGCTTTTGTGGAAAACTTCTATAAGCCAAGAGGGTTTTTGCTTCATCCTGACATTTTGTTGCGTGGAATTGCAGTGTTGTGGCTTCAGCCTCAGTTCTTCTTAGTGTTAATGGTGCTGGAATACTTACAGTAATAAGCAGCAACTAAATTCTACTACTGTCTTATTGAAAACCAGCGATAACTACGTTATTATTATGTATATGCTCTGACAGCACACAGAAAGCCTGCAAGAGAATAACAATGCCTTTTCATGTCCTATAGCTGGTGATAATAATACCAGAAAGCTAACTGTTTTCGTAGTTCTCACCTTCATTGAAATTGTTAGTCCTCTTTCTTCATGTGAGGGAACTTTGAATCTGATTGGCAGTTGATCTCAGCATTATCCACAGCGAGGGATTTGTTTGGCTTCATCCTGCATTGTATAACATTTCCCAAAGGGACATCCAAGTTCAGGTAATATGTGATACAATCATCTAATATTAAGGAAGAGTTTGAATTTATTTTGCCAGACTCTGCTAGTTTCTTTCTGTTCATGTATCTCTTTTTTAAACAGCCTGTAGCTCAATGTGGAGTCCCAGTCACATCACACACGTCCTTTCTAGAATTACCTTTGGAAGTAAACTGTGGGTTTTACATAGTCTGGAGGATATGAGCATAAAACCCAACGTGCTCATAATCATGGGAAAGAAAGAGATAAATACTGATGAAAATTTGGGCCTAATAGATGTCAAGAGGAAGCAATGCCTGTCACCAGCTAAGAGAACTTTCAGAAATTAGGAGAGCCATTGTTTGATTTACTTTCTTTTTGTCTGGTGTTCAGCGTAAGCGGTTCTAAGAAAATGTGAACAAATCTCCCTAGCATGTAATTTTAGAAATTCCACCATTCGAAAATTGCACTGTTCATAAAAAAAAAACCCCTAATAGATAAAATGAGAGGAAGTAAGTACATGGATCCAAGTATTGCTGAAAGCAAGGACAGTTACATTTTATTTTTCTTTATGTCATTTTCTTCCTCTATACTTTTGATTGATAAATAATCTGTCTTCTGTGTGTCTCCTCTCTCACGGCTGCTGCTTAGGGACTAATGGTATCACCTGACCTTCAGGGGATGCTCTGAAGCTTAATTATTTAATGATAATAAACCATGTAATTCGTGTGGTACATTTAAAAAAAAATAAAATAAAACCCAAAGAAAGCCGCAAACCAAACCAAAGCAGTTTTACTCATTAATTATAGAAACCTGTACTATGAGAAATATTGCATTAGAGGTGTTTGGGAAAATTTATATGAATTGCAGGAAGCTATGATCGTTCCAAACATGTCACAGTAAAAACTTGATACCCTTTTTAGTTTCCAATTTTGTTTGTGGCTATTCAGTCTCACAGAAATATTAGCAAAACGCTATTCTTACCCTGAAACCAAATCTCTCTCAAGCTGGTAGTGAATGAGAGATGTCACCATAGTTTTGCTGTTCATTTGTCTAAACAACACTACCGAGTTTTCAGTGTGCAAATTAACATGGGAATGTCCTGTCTCAAAAATCCACAATGCCTGTCAGTATTAATTAGCTCCTTTGTTTCCAAAGGTGACAGTGAAATAAAGATACCAGCACAGAGTTCCACCACTTCATTTTTAATACGTTTCAATAACAGTGCTTCTGAGTAGTCAAGATGCCTGTTGAAAACTCCGCTGCTGCACAAAAAATAAAGTCAAAGGCACCATCAGCAGCATTTCTGGCGTTTTCTTGTGCTGTTACACCTTCATCCTAATAGAAATTTTGAATCTAAAAATGGAAAACAAGCCTTGTTAATTTTGCAAGTCTAAAGGTCCTTCAGAACTCACTTTTTCCCAACAATGCGCAGACAGTTGTTAAGGAAAACTAATTACACACATGGTGAGGAACATAACCTAGAATAAAATTGCAAGAAAATCTCTAAGAGGGTTGGAAGTTCTGATGCAGGATGAGGTTATGCTTCAGAGAACAAATTTGTTTTATGAATAACTCAGCGATATTAAAGAATAACTAACATCTGCTGAACTGTTAATCCAATTAGAGCAGGAGATTATTCCTAGGATGGTCTCAGACGCAGAATTTATAAAAAGAGATTAATGCAAGGAGATTGCCTTGCTGGAAGTGACTGAGCAAGATTTCTACAACTTAGTGTGGTAGATAGCTAAAAATCGGAAAGGATAAGACTTCCCTATCTGTTTCTTGTCTAGTAACATCATCAGTTAGTAACCTGTTTAATTTATTTCTAGAAATGCTGTTTACTGTCAGCTGAAGGAGCTTCCACATACATGCAGAAAAGGCTCCAGTTAATTTGCTGAGTCGTATTGTCAATGCTAAAAAAATTTGCTGACCCTATTGATTGTCCAAGCTTCTGTTATCTGTGTCCTTTTCACTTTGTGCTAGTACTTCCTAACTTATCCTTTAGCATCTTGTTAGGTGATTGCATTGATTCTTTTTCTGGCTTGTTACCTTCCTCCGAGCACTGGTCTGCTCTCCTGAAGTCTTGCACACTTTTACATAAACATACTAGCAGAAGGAATGGAGAAGATAAATCCTTTGGCAATTTCATAATGAAGCGTTGGATATTCTGAGCACCACAACAGGGAAAGAAAAAAAAGGCTGAAATAATATCCTGCTGATGGATTAATAGCTTAGTTAAAAAGAATTGCTCTAGACCCTCAGTAAGTGACATAGCTATAGGGATAAACCATGTAGCTAGCAGATGCCAAACCTAAACTAGAACAAATAATAGGAAAATTCCATACAGTGAACGACCCAAGTAGTAGAATCTAAGGGAACGAAAATAGAGAAAGAGATGCTCCATTGCAGCTAGGGTGAGTTCAGTCTTGAAAAAGACACTTCAGATTGGTTGTTGTCCAGAGAGTTCACATATTTAACATATTTCCTTGTTTTAAAAGAATAACCCTATAAATC